ACCAAACTACATAAAAAGCACTGCCAGCTTCTTTGGTCTATTTTCTTAACTTGCAAGCAAAAAACTTCTTATAAACTATTAAATTTTAGACCGTAGATGACTGAAAATGGAATTTGAAAATCACTACTCTATTAAATTTTAGACCATAAAATTAAAGGAAAACTAATGAAAATGGTTTGAAAATTTTGAGTTTTAATGATAAGGACAAAATAAAGGGTAAAGTGAATAGTATCAGGTTTGACTTTTTAGTGTAAAAATGTGGTTTTTCGTTAAAGTGAACAATATCGTGGGCTTTTCGTTAAAGCTCCCTAAAATTAATGTAAACGGGTTATGATTGATATTGGTATAATATATCTGTGTAAGGGGTACTACTTGTCACATCCTAGCCTAGGCCCCCACCACATCCCAGGCTAGACTCCACCGTAGCACGATATTGTCGTTTTGGGCTCCGACCACGTCCTCACGGTTTTGTTTCTGGGAACTTACACGAGAACTTCCTAGTGGGTCACCTATCCTGGGATTGCTCTTCGCGAACTCGCTTAACTTCGGAGTTCCTACGGAACCCGAAGTCAGTGAGCTCCCAAAAGGCCTCGTGCTAGGTAGAGATGAGAATATACATATAAGACTTACAGGATTCACTTCCATGGGCGATGTGGGATGTTACAATCCACCCCCCTTAGGGGCCCGACATCTTCGTCGGCACATTTCCGGCCAGGGATTGGCTCTGATACAAAATTGTCACATCCTGGCTCAGGCCCCCACCACATCTCGGCCTAGACTCCACTGTAGCACGATATTGTCCGCTTTAGGCCCCGACTACGCACTCACGGTTTTATTTCTGGGAACTCACATGAGAACTTCCCAGTGGATCACCTATCCTGGGATTGCTCTCGCGCGAACTCGCTTAACTTCGGAGTTCCTATGGAACCCGAAGCCAATGAGCTCTCAAAAGGCCTCGTGTTAGGTAGAGATGATAATATACATATAAGGCTTACATGATTCACTTCCCTGGACGATATGAGATGTTACACTACTAGTTCTAACTCTTTGAATATTTGCATATCCTGATGGTGGTTTGCTCCATAATCTTTGAAGATTTGCTAGATAATGGTGTTGATTTAATATTGGATTCTCAGTTAGTATTAAAATTGACATGCAATACATAATTGTTTCTTTGTTAAGAAATGCTAAGGAAACTCTCTCAAAGTGAGACTCCCTATAAACCCTTCGTCAGACTCTCTGTCACCTCATACTTTTGGCACAATAGAGTAATTTCTTTGTTCATAAATGCTAAAAAGACTCTCTATAGACTTTCCTCCAGGCTTTCCGCAACCTCATATTTTTGCACAATAAAGTCTATAAAAAGTCCTACTTTTAAGATGTCTTCGCATTTCTCTTCTTTGTTTAGAAAAGAAATTTAAAATTAGGATAAATTTCATAAAACTACCTCAACTATTGGGTCAGTCACAATTTCATACCCCATCTTTAAAAAATTTCAATGTCATACCTCATCTACGAATTTTTTACAATTTCATACATTCCGTCAGTTTTCTATCAATTTTTCAGTTAAAATAGTGACATGGCTTAAAAAAATTAAAAAATTAATCAAATATTAAAAAACAAAAAAAAAATCATTTTGAATTTTTTTTTTTGCACAGGGACCCACCCTATGCCCTTTTTTCCCTCTCCTTTTCCTCCCCCACTTCTCTCTCTCGCCGTGCCCATAACCCCCTTCCTTCCCCCACCTGTCTTCCCCAAACCCAGATCCCACTCCCAACTACCATACCATCCCAAACCCAGATCCCACTTCCTGTTACCATTCTTCGGCACAAACCCAAAATCAACCAGATACCATCCCAAACCCAGATCCCACTCCCCGCTACCATACCATCCCAAACCCATATCCCACTTCCTACTACCATTCTTCGGCACATCCTTTAGCGCAACTACTCCTCCCTCACCTCCCTTACCTTTTTCAACGCCCTCATCCGCAGCCACTCTCCTCCACATACAGCAAATTTGCCAAAACCCTTACCCCGGAAACCCTATGAAACTCTTCCTTGCTCTCCTTGTACCCAGCCACCTGCGCAATCACCATCATGGCGTCTTCTACGTCATACTGCAGCAGAGAGATTTGAGGGTTTGAAGGGGCAGAGGAAGAGGGCATAAATGGTACTAGAGCATAGAGAGGGCCGGTTGACCCGATTTGGTAAAGGCGAAGTCTGAATCAAAGAGCGAGTCGGTCGATGGCTGTATAGACGAAGGGAAGGCGGGACGGAGTCGAGCGATGGCGTGTGCAGGTGAGGTGGGTGATAGGCATGAAGGGGAGAGATGGATGTAGTGATCAGTGCAGAGGATACGAGATGGGTGGGATCTGGTGAGGGAGGGTGCAGACGGGGTCGACGAGGTCGGGTTAAAGGGTGAAGGTGATGAGATGGTGAAGGGCCAAGGTCAAGGTCGGGGCCGACAAGGCTACTGTTGCAGCGTGAAAGGGAGAAAGAGAGAAAAAATACTAGAGGAAAGGGGATGGCAAATGAAAAACCTAGGTGGCTTAGGGGGTTCTGGGCACGGCGAGAGAAAGAAATGGGGGAAGAAAGGGTACGGGGTGGGTCCCCATGCAAAAAATAAAAATAAAAATGATTTTTTTTTTAAGTTTTTTAATATTTAATTATTTTTTTAAGCCACGTCACTATTTAACGGAAAAATTGGCATAAAACTAACGGAATGTATGAAATTGTAAATAATTCGTAGATGAGGTATGACATTGAAATTTTTTAAAGACGGGGTATGAAACTGTGACTGACCCAATAGTTGAGAGAGTTTTATGTAATTTACCCTTAAAATTAATATGCACTACACACATTTGCAATAATTATATATATAAAAAAGACAATTTATCACGATGGTCTGAAAACACAATTATCACGATGGTTTGAAAACACAATCTTGAGTTCCCCCAAATGCATGCGCTTCTATTCCATCTACAACAGAATCACATGTATCCCAACAAGATCCTATCCGGATCCTCTTTGTGAGGATTTTAAGGATTCGTGAATTGTGTATGTTCATCTAGGTATATGATTAGCTTTTATTAATGAGTAATGCTATGAAGATTAATTTTTAATTAAATTTTATAAATTATATGATGTGGTTGTATTACTTAAGTTTTAAAGAACGTGTTTATTTCTTATAATTTAAAATTTTGGTCGAAAAAAGTTGGTCTATATAACATTATTCTTTTTCAAAAGGTTATAGTTTCACAACAGCGGTGAAGCCATAAAGATGCAAGGAGGTGCGGCTAATATTATTGAGAAATTTTTATTATATAAAAAAGTGATCTTCCTAAAATTACTCTTTTTATTTATTAAAAAAAAATTAAAATCGTCTACGGTGAAGAAAGACTTCCATGAAATCATCTTTGTATATTTATTGAGAAATTTTTATGGGCATTGAGAATACAATATCATGCTATGTCTTATTCACATATTATATAATAAGAGTCGACAATAACGTTAATTCTACTTTTAACTTTTAAGTATATTAAGAAAAAAATCATTTATTATAAATTGAGTGAAATGGTAATATTAAGTGTTATGTGATCGTGTTCTAGAGACTCGGCAGTGACCCACTTAATCTTTTTCCCTCCGTTGATGCCTATAGCAACAAGGACCCAAGTAGGGAACCATTATTGGTCTCCCTCTCAAGTATTATCACGTCTTCGGTTGGACCTATCATTGAGGATTCCAAATTTTTTAGTTGTCCAACAATCACTGGAGGCCAAACTAGCCAGGTATGTAGATTGGCTTGAGAAGAATCCTCCGGATCTCATTGCTGATCTTTTGGTTGAGGACAGCTTGTGTTGATTCCGGAACCATTTTTGTACTGCTACTGCTTCTATCAATGAAAATATACATCGTTATTTTCGGAAAAAATAAAAAAATAAAAAAATAAATATCACGTCGGAAGTGATCACGTGAGGTAGTGTCCCAGTCCACTATTGTTCTCTTATTTCTCTCCCTCTATCTCCCTCTCTCTCCCTCTTTAAATCTTGAAAATATCATTGCAACATGTTCGAATTGCGAACCGTTTTCTGTTATGAATCTTAGTAAATAACAGAGAGCCGCGTTGAGTACGATCGTTCCAAGTTCATGAGTTGACAATTTGAGAGACTCGATTGAGACATTGAGAGGCAAAGGTCTAATCGCTTGTGTGTTGAAAATCCTAATTATATATACATATATTTACGTTTATATATGTGTTTGGACCCAATTTTACACTATCAGCCCAAGCAATCGAGGCTGTAGAATGAGTAGAATTTTGAGCCCATTGGATTTGATATTTAAGATTATTGTTATCTTGGTTGAATTACCATGATGATATTGAAGAATTATCTGTTGCATGGCGGGTTAGCAAGGAGTCCAAGAGCTGCAATGAGTGTTAATATACATTTTTATGTGTATTATTTAAACTGAGTCTTGATTGCTCTCCAGATTACATAGGATAAAGATGGGAAGTCCAACTTGGTACGTGATTGCAATTGGGATGATAACCACGACATCAGAGGGATGCTAAGTTGATTAGACTTTTTTTTGTGGGAATTAATTAAAAGATTTGGAATCCATCTAATTGTGAAGTAATCAGCTGCGTGTGGTCTCTTGTTTGGATAAGGATCAGGATGTGGTCAGTAAGATAAAAGACTTGGTAGAAAGATCAAGATGCCTTGGTTGAGATGCATGGCTAGAAGATAAAATTGCATGCTAATTATTTGCATGCCTTGGTACCAGCACGTGGAGGCTATCAAATACTTGGATTAGGATTGATTTGCACAAAATAAGGAGCTAAGGATGGATTCCGCGTGGATATGGTCGCTTTCAAATACAATATTCTCAGGAATATTATAGTGAATGTGGATTTACGGCAATAGTTTGTTATGTGGTCATCGAACTTTTGCGTTCCTATAAATACAGAGGCAGTGGCAACGAAAAAAAGGATCTCCAACTCAACACATAAACTGCCTTGCGCAAACTTTTGCTCTACGTGAAATTTCTCAACAACCTTGAGATTTTTGTTTTCTTTTTCGCCGACACACCTTGAGATTTTTATTTTCTTTTTCGCTGACACACCTTCAGTTTGGATAAACAGCACTATGAAGGCAACCGGCAAACACCTTTAGTTTGGATAAACAACACTGTTGCCGTAGAATCAGCCTACTGCGAAGCATCTTCTGTTTAGTTTGGATAAACAGCACTGCAATGAGGCCGACTGGTTATCTATCCAAGTCTCGGTCAAGAAGGATTTTCAAATCCTTATTGGCAGAGGTCATCTCATCAGCCTTCTCGGCGAAGTGAGGGTGTTACGAGGTTACTATGCACCTTGAGAGCCGAATTTGATATTGAACTTCGCATAACTAGCAGCCTTGTCTTCAGACTCTAGAACTCGAAGGTCGAGACGTGTTCCTTCTTTGGCCGCAATCGCGATATTCAGAAGTTAGCAGCGCGCCCATTGCAACATCAACAAATTTTACTCAGCTCGGTGGTCGAGTTGGCACGCCCCACACACAACCGAAGGACGTAGTTAACTTATTAATTACTCGTCCTGCGCACAGGTAGGCTTGGTAGTTTTTAGGATCAATAATATGTCATCGAAGTGCAGGAAAGTTAAATAGCTCTCGGACGGTCGAGAACCTGTAGCCAAGGAGAAAATGATGAGCTGGTTAAGAAAGCCAGAAATCACTTCACCAATTAGGTTTCTGTGTCTGTTGAGTAGTCTGTTCGTTCTCCTAGCTCTCATCAGGCTTTTTCACAATATATGGTGGATTCCGACTCGCATACAGAAGCTGATGGCTTTGCAGGGGATCAAAGGTCCTTCTTACAAACTTGTTCATGGAAACACCAAAGAAATCTCCAGCATGAAACAAGAATCTATGAGCAGGCCCAAGAGTTTCTCACATGACATAGTTTCTCAAGTTCACCCTCACATTCACTCCTGGACCAAGACATATGGTAACAAATTAATTACTCTAGATACTATTAATTAAAGGGCTAATTACACTTAGTTCCCCGTGGTTCAGTACCATAACAGGATCAAACGGTTAATTTTTGCATGCAACGTGCAGGGAACGTTTTTCTTCAATGGTATGGTTCAAGCTCAGTTGATTGTAAAGGAACCTGAGTTATGCAAAGAGATACTGAATAACAAACATGGAGCTTTTGTAAAACAAAAGGCTCAAGGGATGGTAAAGAGGCTATCGGGAGATGGCCTCCCAAGATCGAAGGGTGCAAAATGGTTTAAAATGCGCAAGCTGGCCAACCATGCCTTCCATGGAGAGAGCCTGAAAGTAATTTCTTATAGAAACTATTGTGTCTGAATATTTTTGAAAGGGCAAAAAACAAATTAAACATGCTATAAATTGAAAACTTTCTTAATTTTCATGATGTTATCGTGTTTTTTCAGAGTATGACTCCAGCAATAATAGCAAGTGCTGAGACGATGCTAGAGAAATGGAAAAGTCACGAAGGCAAAGAGATTGAGGTGTTTGAAGAATTTACGTTGTTGACATCAGAAGTAATTGCTAGGACTGCATTTGGGAGCAACTACTTAGAAGGGAAGAATATTTTTGAGATGGTGAGGAAATTAGGCGACTTAATATCCATAAATCATCTCAAACTCCGGTTTCCTTGGATGAGGTTAATTTATACGTTTTTCCTTTTAACTGAATTACAAATTTCAGACGCATTATTCTCTTATATATATATGTATGTATGTATGTATGTTGATCATATACAGACAGTGTTAGAACTAGCTATAAATGTATAATTAGCTTTAACTTTTGAATCTCTTAGCAGAATATATCTATGATAGTTACTTAATTAGAATCAATATTGCAGTAAGTTCTCCCCAACCCGCGATGATATCGAATCAGAGAAGCTTGAGAAAGGAATACGCCAGAGCATAATAGAGATTGCTATTAAGCGAGTAGAACAGGCACGACTGACTGGAGAATTTGGGACTGATTTCTAGGGTTACTTGTAAAGGCTCACCATGACAGCGATGATAAGCTGAGGATTTCGGAGGATGAAGTGTTGGACAAGTGCAAAGCATTTTACCTTGCTGGAGAAGTAACAACAAAATGTTTGCTCACTTGGACTATCTTTCTTCTCGGACTTCATACAGATTGGCAAGACATAGCAAGGAGGGAGATCTTTAAATTGTTCGGAAAACAAATTCCGAATCATGATGCTCTTGGCAAACTGAAAACTGTAAGATTGATTAATATTATCTCATCGATGAATGAAATAATATGCCTCGTGATGCATGCTTAGCTTGTTGATCTATTTAAGTTTTCATTTTGTGATATTCAATTATATGCAGATGAGCATGATCATCAATGGGTCTCTGAGGTTATATCCAACTATTGCTCGTATTGTAAGGAACGTGGATAGGGACGTTAAGCTGGGAAAGCTCAAAGTTCCTGCAAGTTATCGTTCCAAATCTAGCACTTCATCATGACCCTGAATTATGGGGAGAAGATGTACAGCTTTTCAAGCCAGACCGGTTCTCAGAAGGAGTTGCTAAAGCTACTAAAAATAACATAGCTGCATTCTTACCCTTTGGACTGGGACCTCGAATTTGTGTAGGCATGGACCTTGCGACCACTTAAACAAAGATTGTTCTGTCGATGATTCTGCATCGCTACCACTTCACTCTTTCCCCGGGTTATGTGCACTCGCGCTGTCATAAGCTTACAGTTTGTCCACAACATGGAGTTCAAGTAATCCTACAACCACTGTGAAGCGTGATCAAACTATTTTAGAGATGGAGACTAAGTTGCCAATAAATCTTTTTACCACGTGAAACGCGACTTCATTATTGACGGAATGTGGCTTCTCAATAATTCGCTACGGGCCAATTTACAAAACTTTACACTTACGATCAGAGATTCAGAATCATTCATATTATAAATGATTTTGTAAAGATCATTTAGTTATCAAAATGTATAAAAACAAATAGACATATTCGGTAAAAGAATTATAAAACATTTATCTATTTGTTACAATTGATTGATTAAACAGCTTTAGTTTTAATTAATTTTGTCTGGAGATGATCTTTACGTAGTGATTTATAATATAAACAATTCCAAACATAAACACAAAACGTGAATGACAGCATGTAAACGTGATGTCGCCCAGGAACCCCAATATAAGACGCACCCGAGTAATTGGAGTGACCGTCATAATAAGCTACACATCTTTAGTGCCAATTCATGCCAGGCAGCCAGCAAGAAGCCATCGGACTCTTCAATCCGAGCCCCATAAAATTGAACGTATTACAAGACAACGTGACAAAATCTGGTCCATAAATACTTCAAATACACGAATTCGTTATTTTCTGTACGTCTACATATATCAAAATATGCTCAAGATATACACTGAAAAAAACAACGTCTGAACGAGATGTGCCCTTCACCAAAGGCATCAAGTAAAACAACCAGTCACCCCGAAATATTCCAGAGATATAGACTATACAATCTCAAACACTACATCTTCATTCTACCGGGAATTCATCCAAACGACAAAATTCACAACACTTCGTAAACAATAAGATCACACAACGCAAAGTACCCAGGTCTATGCTATTGTTGCTTATAGTAGCCACCCTGTTGCGGAGGGCGGTATTGACCTGGAATGGTGTAAGGAGGCCGAGGGTGCGATCCAGGTTGTTGTGCATGGGCATTATAGTATGGGCCACGCCACCCTGGATAAGCAGGTTGACCATAGTCATGGTTTGCAGGTGGCTGTTGCTGGGTCTGTGGAGGTGGGTATGGACTACCAGCTTGAGGAGGTGGGTATGGACTACCAGCTTGAGGAGGTGCATATGGACTACCAGCTTGAGGAGGTGCATATGGACTTGTAGGTTGTGGTGGCACATGGTAAGGAGATGGCATCTGCTGCGTTGAGCTATAGGGGGGAGGGTGAGTATATCCAGCAATTGCTGGCTGCTCAGGAGGATGGTAGTATGGTGGGGTTTGAGGACGAGGATCTGTTGGCTGTTGTGAACCAGGTTGTCCCACAGAACGATAGTTGTTGTCGTACGCACCTGTGGTTTTCGTATCCTGGAAACTGAGGCCTGCCATTTTTTTGTGAACATCTTCAATCATTTCCTTGCACTGAATGTTTCTAGTCATCACAAAGTCATTGCACTGCTGCTTTACATTCGTTATTGCATCCTGTCGAAGACGGACAAATCAATCAACCACCAGAACACGAAGTCATGGAAATTTCAAACACAACTAGGTGAAGATTGATAGCATGCTGTCACAGCAGACACCAGAAGAGATCCAACTATAACAAAGAAAATAGTGATCTCAAATAGCTATAAAGTAAAGTGCACATTATTCAAAATTACCTGAAGAGTAACATAGAACTTTAAGCCCTCATTTATGTTCTCCTTAATTTCGCGGAACTTTGCTATGGCAGCTTGAATCTGCTTGTAACATTTCTCACGAGATGCTGGAACAAAATGAGAAGGAAACAAACAGGAAAAATATAAGAATACACTCCACCTTAATTATAATATGCAAACAGATAGCATGACAGAAGCAAGGAAATAGATTCCATGTCGTAAGATAATCAGAGGACTTCCCTACAAACATATTCAATATATGACAATGAAAACAGCCAACAGAGAAAAAGGCACTTGAAATAATAGATTGTAAGATATCATCATGGCCAGCAGAACGGGTAAGAGCAAATAAAAACTTGAGAAACAACATTTAATAAACATGTAAAACACCCATGTTACACATGGGTCAGAATAATCAATATTCCAGATTGTTTGCAGGCATAAATCTGTCTTTTATCCAACGAAGTGAACAAGGGACAACGTTTCTAAATTGCCATATATTCATTTACTAGTTAATATGATAATCAGTTACGGGGTCAATAACATGATTGAGATCTCATTCTGGACATTTTATATTACACCGTCTCTCTTCCCATGGTAAAGGAAACAATTTTTTCCAGATTGAGATATAAGTGAACTCCAAAAGGTAGACGTGCACCCTCACCCAACCCACAGGCCCAAGCATTTAACAAGGTCATCAAGGGTAGAATAATACAACCAATGAACATCTACGACTAAATAATGCATCAATAGGTGTTACCTTAAAGCATACAAACCATTTAAAGCATAAAAGACCTACCTTTATAATCTTCTAGATTGAAGATTGCAGCAAACTCAGCATTTTGGGCCTGCAGATGACAAACACACATTTTGATCATGAGATATTTGAGAGCTTAAATCCATTTCCATTTATTTAGGAATATTATACAAGGAAAGGAATTTTCAAAACCCATAGCAAATACTACAGATGAATCTACAAAACATGAAATGACAGACAGCTCCTTGGTAAGCAAATGATAATATGGCAAGTGGCAACTGACTTGATTTGACAAAGGCATTTCATTTCTTTTAACAAAAAAGAATAATAGGGTAGTACCACTATAGCATATATTTTCTCATCAGACCTCTTCCAAGATGATAAAGAGAATTAAGCCACAGAGTCTGCCACACCGCATATTATTTAACCTTATCCCTCTACCCACAATATATCCAATTGGGTCTTTTGAAAGTTACCAATAAGTAGAACAACAATGTGCAAAACGAAAGGTGTTGATTCCATCAGAATGTTTTCTATTCAGTTATATCTTAAACCACAATATACTGATTTGGTCTTTGCAAAGTTAAAAATAAGTAGCACAAAAATGTACAAAACTAAAGGTTTTGATACGACAAGAATATCGTCCAGTCAATCTAGTTGCATATTAAAATGATAGGTACTGCTCAATGTACGACATTACCAATTGCACACTCAAAACAGATGTGGGAAAAAAATGAAGAAATATGCATAAAGAAAGTCCAACAACAATAAAAAGGAAACAGACCTGGATTTGCTGCAATAATTGTTCTTGTGCCTCAATATTATGGGCAATGTCTTCACTTATGAGATCATACTTAGATATCTCCTTCCTGAAAAGATCCTCATAGGAGACAGTTGATGTCATCAACTTAGGGAGTATATCATCCTGAGGCCACATAAAAATAATAAGCACACAAAGCACTAAACTAAAGAACGAAGGCATCATTAACAATTGACAAAGCTCATCATGAAGTGTTGCTTGAACAAAAAAATATTCTCAAAAAGTTGCATCCAACAATTAAATAATCAACACACCTTTCTTTTCATCTCTTTAAGCATGTCTTCAAGACCAGCTCGTTGAGCACCAAGGGTTTCCAGTTGCCTCTGCATTGAGCATAGACAGTTAAAAATGTAAAAGTAACAAAACTAGCAATGACCAAACCACTCATGTTAGAAGTTTAGAAAAGAAGTTTAATCTTTTCTCCGGTACAATGCAACAGGAAAACTACGTATGAGTTTATATAAATATGTGTTTGTGTATGTTTTATTGTTTTTTTTTTTTTTTTTGGGGGGGGGGGGGGGGCTTCATATGAGTAATCAAATTCACACACACACATGAAAGGTCGTACCCAGTGCACAAGGCTCCCGCTTTACGCAGGGTCTGGGAGAGGTGAAACATATAAAAAAATTGATACAGCATGCCTACACAGATGCCAGTCATGGGATTATAATCGTTTTTATTCAAATCTTATACTGATCCAAAAGCAGTACATCACTTGCATCAACAAAGACAAATTTCACCACAATCAGACCTTAAGAAGAGAAAAGGCGTTTTAACAATAAATCCATTAAAACTTGCAGACAGGAAAATATAAACAATAGTTATCCATGAAACCCTATATAACAGAGAGTTTATTAACCAGTAACCCTTATACAGAGGATGTAAAAAGGGGTAAAACAGTTACCAAGCTCTGCTTCAGGGCCCCCAAAATAGCATCTTCATTGGCATCCAAAGACATTATTGGCCTAGCCAGAGTTGGGAGGGCAGATTCAATCTGCGAGAAGAAAGAACATAAAACCATTTAGAAAGGCGTGACACCGACACACATGAGATAAATAATTCAAATATACTAAGCCTGATTAATTTATGAACTTTCAGAGAGAGGGAGAGGAGGAAGAGAATCAGGAGAAATAAGGAGTGTGTCAATATGAAAAACTAAACATATTATAATGAGAGGAGAAGAATAAATCGATGAAATCAATTGTTGGTAAATTGGGATGTATTATTAACATCGGTTAAGAAACAAGGACAGATGAAAAACAAAGACACTTCTGCCTATCGAATGGACAAAAGTTCCATGTGCAATATAAATTTTATTAAAATGAACAATAATACAAAAGTCAAAATGAAATAAATGAATTAAGACGTATAAGAAGGCACTTGAGAAACATGAACAAGAATTCCAAGAGAATTACCGGACGACGATCAAGGATGGACATGAGAGCTAAATGTTCTCTGACCGAGCGCTCAATTCGAGCATCACTATCTGCAGCTTGCTTCATGTTCCCTGCAAACCTATTTAGCCTATCCTGTAAGTTCTTTGTCAAAGTACTTGACTGCGGCCTCGTCCACCGGGTTCCAAATTGGCTCTAAACTGAGCATCTTCTCTGGCCTCTTTCTGCAAGAGTTCCTCAATCTGTACCAGAATTTCCTGGTTTACCCTTTTCAAATCCTTAAGCTGCTGTAACTCAGCTTCCAAACCAGCAGGGCCTCCACATATCTGCACTGCCTCCACATCTTCTTTAAGATCTGTAGGAAGAGTAAAATTCCCTTCCAATGCAAGAATAGACTCTGGAAGGTCCATTTCCTTGAGCCTTACTCTGGTCAGTTCACTGGCTTGTTGTAATTTTTCTGCTTGTGTTCTGATAATGTCATCAACCATTTCAGTGTACCTGGAAAGAGCTTTTGCACTACTGTCTGGAACAAGACTAGCAAACATCTTCTCCTTGCTCGCATCCAGGACCTCACTCATTGCCAAAGGCTTCACCATGGAAAATGCCGGAAGAGGTGGTAAGGAACCAGGGGAAGGAACCCTCATGAGATAAACTCTATCATTCTCCTTTACAGCCCTCTCCAGGTTACGGTTCAAATGGACATCTAACTTACTAATTGCGTCCAGAATCTGTGCAGCAGCCCCTTTTGTGTTTTTCTTAGCCTCAGACAAAGCACTAATCCCACTCTTTAACCGTGCAATTTCTTCTGCAATCTCTTCTTTCTCATGGAGCTCTAGACCATACCTATAGCAAGTTTCTGCATAAAAGAGAGCTGCCTTTAACTGCATGTGTGATATCCAGCCCCTGTCAAAATGCTGGTTCAAGGGCGGAGCATTACATGTCGCTAAAGCTTCCTCGTAATACAGCCCAACCTGTAACCACATCCGTCTCAAATCAATTCACAACAAAACCAAGTGAGTCACCAAAACTGGTATGGAATCATTATTTCTCTACCATTTAGGATTCAAGGGAAACCCAAAAAACACAGTAGACCAGAGGCAACTAAATGTGCAATTCCGTGAGTATTAATATACTCTTTTGTGCAATATAGTTTATATGGTATTTGTTGAAAGTCGGGTAAAATCCCCGACTTGCGAACAGAATACCGAAAGCAATCACTTTACTCAAACACACCCACAGCTGCAATTCAATCAATCAAGCAATATGAAGTTCTAGCTACACTATTAACACCCAATATGTAATCAATCAAACAAGCAAAATACAACCCTCACCTGCCTCGAGATCTTGGGCACAAACACCTGGCGTGCTCCCTTTGGCAATAGTATTCTCAAAGACGCACTCTTGGGCCTGCGCCAGCATCAGCCTCTCCAGCATCCCAGCGCACTCCACCGACAAATCCACCGTCGTCGAGCTCCCAATCGACGCCTTGGTCGCCGCATTGTCCCGCAGAAACGCGAACGCCCCAGCCGCCGCAATGAACGCGTGCGACGCCTGCCGGCGACCGTCGACGGTAGCGCGATCGTAGGAGAGCCCAATCTGACTGTACACGGCGCCCAAATTGAACAAAACGGCAGCCTTTTCCAGGTGGATGTTCTGCTGGGAAGCCTTCTGCTTGTTCTTGAAAGCGTCGTGCCAGACGAAGGTGACGGTGTTGATGTGATCCTTGTCCGGCGAGATGGGGAAGCGGGTCTCGACGAGGCAGAGGGCTTTGAAGTAATTTTGAAGGAGGTCGCGGCGGGTGGTGAGCGACGGGTCGGGTTGGCGCTCGACGTCGGAGCGGAGCTGTTTGACGGTTTGGAGGTCGTCTTCTAGGTTCTGGGCTTCGCGCTCGGAGTAGTTGAAGGCTATGTAGTTGCGAAGAGGGCGGTAGAGGTCGATTTGGGTCGTTTTCTTCTCGAAGATGGCGAGCATGACATTAGTAGCGGTGCCGGAGGCGGAAGACGCCATTTTAGGGGGGTTTTGGGTTTGATCGGAATCGAATCGATGAATTCAAAGAGAAAATTGAAGAAGAAGAAGAGAGAGTTGAAGAGTTTTAACGAGTGAAATTGACCAATCAATCTGCCTTGTACGGAGTGGTTTTTCTTTTCCTTCCTCACAAAGCAAACGAGAAAAAACCAAATTTCCTTAACGTATAAAATTTAAGATTACTAAATAATTTTAAAATGCCGGAAATTTAAATGATAAAATTTTATTTTATAGAATTTATGAATTTTTTTATTTGAGTAACTTAAAAGAACAATAGAATTGAATACGAAATTTGTTGTTTTTTAACTTTTAATCATAGAAATTAGAAAATGATATCTATTTACTTGGAATTTAAACTTGGGAACCAGAGGTGCCAAATTCCAAGTTTTTTTTTCATACGAAAATTTTAATTTCTATATTTATGAATCCAAACAAGTGAATTGGTGTATGTTAATTTATAAATTATGTCTTTAATTCAAGGTCCAAGTTCATTTCTCTCATTTAAACATAGTGTTATTTTCTTGTTGAAATATATTTAAAAAAAAATTTCAGTGTTTTACTCATAATGATATTTCAAATTGGCATAACTCTTAACTTTGATCGAGTTTGTTCACAATCAATCATTTTGATCATTTAACAAAATTTCTACGTAATAACAAAAATGATTGATAGTAATAAACTCAGAACCACTTGCATTTGATTTCAAATCTCAAAAACTAAAATAAAGAGTTACACTAATATTAGAGAACATTTAAAAAAAAATTCTAAAAAATTTTACCAAAATAAATTACGTTCCTTTTATTTCAGCAATTTAGATATTAAAATTAATTTTCATTTTATTTGCTGAAAAATATAGGAACAGACTTTCTCTAAAAGGAAAATTGGGGAATTTTCCCCGGTAAGAAAGAGGGGGCATTATAGTCTTTTCATCCGAGTAATTAGAGTGGGTGTGCCCTGTGCCGTGTGCCGTGTTCCGTGTACGTTCCTCTCTATTTATGCACCCACCAACTAACAGCCCTCAACGCGTAGACGTTTCTGGAAGGCCAAAAGTCAAGCCCTAGCTCTCTCTCTCCCCCTCTCTCTCTCTCTCTCTCTCTCTTCTGAGTCGACCAATTCGATCTTCCTCTCCCTCTCTCTCTCGCTTCTTACTGGTACGTAACTGCTGCTAATCCTGTTAACTCGTTCAATTATTGTCAATTTAGGGTTTTCCTTTGTTTCATTGACTACTTTGAACTGTTATTTATCGTAAAATTTGGGGTTTTGATCCTAAAGTTTCTGTCTTTGAATGTTCAGCGGGTCTCTGGGTTTGATATTATGTGCTTAAACTGATATTCGAATTAATTAATGATTAGGGGATTTATTATATGTATGTTCATTCGGAGTTTTTGTTTGGTTACTGAGAAAATGAAGATAACTAGTTATAGAAAGTAAATTGCGTGCTCGTAAATATTTTAATTCATTGTGATGCAAAGAATTGAATTTTTTATTTGGGTTTTTTGATATCTGACAAAAAAGCATTAACTTGCAGGCTTGTTTGGAAGGAGAGTTGTAGCTTTGAGCTGTTTGAGGCTGGACTTTTGGTCTGTAGAGCTGTGGTTTGCTCCAGATAAGGTAAGAAATCCGAATTGAATTGCCAGATTTTTGTTCCGTTTCTTTATTGATGTGAGAATTTTCATACTTCATGTTGCGGATATTATTCTTGGCTGAATGGATTTGCAGTCTTTTGTTTTGGTTGTAAACTTCTGTTGTTTTAACTTCTTAGTCGGGGGAACGATTGTCAGATACTTGGAGGCAAATGAGTTACAGATTAGCCTAGTATAGGACTGATTTGGAATGTTTAGTTTACGATGCTTAAAAACAACAGATCATAAGACGTGTGGAAGGAAGAGGGCAGATATGACCGGCTTGTGATACCTGGAACTTTGTATGGAAAGAGAACATTATGATTAGGGTTCTGTTTTGTAAACTCGTAAGGCGATCTTAAATATCTGATTGATGTGTATTTAGTATTTGTCTTCTGTATATGCGATGCTAACATAAAAATGTTAAGGAACTAACATTTTTGTTTCTCTTCTTTGAGATGCACTTCCGGTCATCATCGTACCAACATGCAGATATTGTGCTGGTTTTTATATCTAAATGGACACCAGGAGGTTCATGCAGCTGGTTGAGGAGAAAAAGAAAAGAGCTTTGGAGAAGAAAGAAGCCCCGTTGAAATGGGAGCAGAAACTAGAAGCTGCTGCTAAGGCAAAAGCTGATGCCGAAGCCAAAGAGAAGAAGCCGAAATCTTCAAAGCATAAGAGAAGATCTGCGTCGGAGTCTGATAGCGATAGCGACACTGACAGAAGTGATGGGAGAAGAAAGTCAAATAAAAGAACTCACAAGAAGCACAAGAAGCGAACTCACTCTGATGCAAGTGACAGTGAAATGAGGAAGGAGAAGAAATCCAAGCGAAAGTCAAAGAAACATTCCTCAGGCTCGAGTGATGATAGCAGTGATGAGTATGAGAGTGATTACGAAGAAGAAAGGAAGAGGAAGAAGGGAAGCCACAAAAAGCACAGGCATCATGATTCTAGATCAGATTCGGGTCCCGATTCTTCCAGTGACGATGATAGTGATACGGTGAAGAGAAGTCATTCGAGGCACCACAAACACCACCCCAGGTCAGACTCAGAATCATCTGGTTCTTATAGTGATGAGGACGAGAGAAGAATCCGAAGGGGTCATGCTAAGCACCACAAACGCCACAGACATTTGAGATCTGTTTCCCCTGAGTCAAGTTATGAGGATGGTGAGGTTAGAAGGAAAAGGCACGCAAGGCACCATAAACGTCATAGGCAATCACGATCGCATAGTGTTGATTCAAGATCATCAGATCCTGATTCCCACAAACGCAGCAGAAGGAGCAAATCTCTAGGAAAGTCATCAGATGACAACCGCGACGAGGCTGATAAACAGTTGAAGCACAAGAGGAGTGGTCACCATAGCCATCATCATCACAAGCATCGTCACCACCACTCAGAAGAGGAAAAAGATCACCATCCTCGGGGTTCAGGTGAGCCCAACGGAAAGCAGACAGAAGATGTTAGAGCAAATGCAACCGATAATAACAGTTGGTAGACGTCCCTCTAATTTGCGGTTATTGCTTTCACTGGATTGGACTTTATTTACTTTCCGTCAAATTTTGACTGCAGAGAGGGAACCTCCCTTAACTACTGCATTCTCGGTTGCCTGCATCTGTGCTTATACTTGCTACATAAATTCAGTTGCCTTTCCCTTGCTTAACTTGTTCCGTTTACAAATTAGGTTTTGGTGCAAGATTTTCTGGACGCCAACGAGACTGATCTCAAACCAAATTTAACATACAAAACCGCATAAGATGCTTACAAGTCAGAATCTCCCAAAATTGTTTTTATTTTCTTTTTTCCAAGCTGGACGCCAACGAGACTGATCTCAAACCAAATTTAACATACAAAACCGCATAAGATGCTTACAAGTCAGAATCTCCCAAAATTGTTTTTATTTTCTTTTTTCCAAGCTGGGAAAATGTATCCTCAGCCGTGGGGAACAAATCGGTAGTGTCACTCAATAACGATACAACAATTTTACTATGATAGGTTAGTTAGAAATTCTTCAGTATGTTTTCAGTTGATACACCGTCTGCTACAAGAATTGAGGTAACCTCCTGCAAAGAAAAACAATTCAAAATGTTACCTCCGCGTAGAAGTATGATCGTTAGCATTCAATATTTACCACACGGACAGACATCACAACTAAATGACGCGGCATTTATTTGAAACACGAGACCCCTCACTCGCTGGGGTTAGTCTTTTTATCCAACGTTTCTCTTTGGATTAGGATTCTCTCTCCTCCTCTTTACGTGTAATCGACCAAGGTACGAAAATTCACTAGGTGATGGATTCAGTATGCCTAACTCAGATAAAGGCAGGCCGTTTTGGGTAGGTGGAAACAACCTAACCCTACTCGTTATAACGCAACTTACAAACACCAAGGACATCAACCATTAGAGCTATCCCAATCCAGGTAGGTGGAAAATTGAACAAATAGCAACCAGGCCATTTAATATCATAAACAGGGACTATTACGGCCCGGAAGATAAACCTTTATTGGGTAAAGAAACAATAGACAAGAAAATTAGCAGATGCCAAGAGAACTTGATAAGTTTTAAATGATAGCAATAAGCGACATTCGATAAGCAAAATATCATGGAAATGTCAACAGAGGTATGTTAATAGAGTTAGTATTCCATCTTAAGCATTGGCTTCGTATGGATGTAGTGAAGGTTAACAATCCCACAGAAACTAAGGACAAGATTGGTTTCAAATCAACAGATTCTTCTAAGCAGATGATATATAGTAAGATTAAGGACAAACTCATATTTTTTTTTCTTTGTTAAAACGCGTCACGCAAGTAAGAATACGTCACCTTTTTCACACAAAAAAAGGTGTCACATACGTTCATTAATAGATAGTGACCTCAACATCATCTACTGCAGAAACCTTCCCTCCTTCCCTTAAGTAAAATGGCTTGGTCCAAGACCATTCAAGCGTGCAGCATTTTCAGATTTCTTTACTACTTACACCTAGAAGTTAGAACCCTAGAGCAAAATTCTTATTGAAGAGGAGCCCTAGAGGCCAAATAAAATTTGCCTCGGGGGGGGGGGGGGGGGGAAGACTACATTTGGTGGTGTTGCAACAAATTATTTACACCTAAACTGTGGGTTCAACTAGTAAACAAGGCAATGGTAGCACCTTGTCTGGTGCAGATCAAGACTCAAGAACGGTTCTTGTCTGACTTCAAAGTTATATATTCACAGAACAATATCTATCTTCAAGCCCATGTTCGACTTTGAAATATAACGATAATAACGATAACAAATGTAACAAAAGCAAACTAAGAAATGTGAACGAGAACAGTAAGGATACCTCAGTCATTTGCTTCTGCCCGCATAACACAGCAGCTGTGGAGAGAGGATTATAAATTTGCTTGGCTCTGGAAAAAGCAGCCTGAAAATGTATAACCACAGAAAGCATTAATTCCGTGCTTAGAAGCGGAACCACTTTGAATTTGCATGGGGTGAAGGTCTACCTGCACATAACCACTCTGTCCCGTCCAACCGCCATGTGGTTGTGATAATACCGGCACAATCTCAACACCTGAAGATTCCCAGTCCTTAAATCTATCCTGTAAGATTACAGGTAATCACAGTCGTAAATTGAATTGGGGAAATTAAAATAAATAAATAAATAAACAGAATTTCATGGTTTATAAGTACCTGATACGCCATTCTGTCAAGGTTTCTAGCGCCATAAAAGAGCTTCACAGCGGATCTCTTATCGGCGCTAAACCCCGATTCGACCAGAGACCGGATTGGACTGCACATATTCAAGAGCTGGGTCATGCCAAATTGCTTTTAAAAACTCGAAGAATTCAAGTCCAATGCATCTGAAATCAAATAAATTCGATTTTTTTTTTTTGCTAACCTGATTCCAGATCCTGTGGCGAATATGAGAACCGTAGGGTAATTCTCCGGCGGTTCGATCCGATCAATGTCGAAGCCTTTCCCCATAACCTGGCTGAGCTCCACCACGTCCCCTCTCTTGAGCCTGCACAGAAGCTCCGCCGTGGACCCTGCCACGCTCTTCACCAAAAACTCAAACACGCCTTTTGCGGACGCCAACGATGGAGGCGACGCGATGGCCAGAAACGAGGGCTTCGATTCGTCAGGGACCCGAAGCTGGAGGTACTGGCCGGCTCGCGTGTGGGACGAAGCGAGGTCGGGGGCGTCGGACAGGTCGACGCGGACGTGGAAGAGCGACTCTGCTGCCGGTTCTATCTCGGAGAGAGGGGCCGGGGACCAGAGAGCGGTGTCTTGGCGTACGGCTGCGGCAACGCTGGCGAAGCGGTGGCGGCGAAGTTTTAGGTGGTGGGGGTTGAGGCGGCGTAGGATAGACATGGGAGGGAGGGGGGAGCTAAGGTGCGCATGGGAGCGGAGGGGCACCGATGCGGGTTGGAAGATTGCAAGTGACATGGCTGTGGGATTCGGGTGTGCGAGGATTTTATGTTGTGGCCGGGTCCGTACAATGCCGGCGCCAAAGCTGGTGAGGAATCAAGAGTCAATCGTCTCGAAGACTCGAGGAAGGGATTGAGGGTAGACTGGTAATTGGGAGAGATTTTTCAACGTAACCCATACAAAGAATGCACCACATGTCACTATTTAAATGGTGGAATATGTGTGCTAAAAAGTTAATAACTTAAAAAATAAAATTTCTCACCACTCTTATCAAAACACGTGGTGTACCACTTATATTCCCGTTACAACTACAAATTTCTCGATAATTGGATAGTCCTAAGTCCACGTGGCATGATTTTGTTACATCCTGGACTTGAGGAGGATAACTGATTGAGCAGGTGATCGCAACCACTAGATGAATGAATTGCTAATTATTTATTTCTTTTGTTCATTTCAATTCTGAGTCGAGAAGGGAAGTGAATTTCGCAGATCCTTAAATTCATCGAGTTTGCGAAGACGAAAGCATTGTCTTCGAGCTGCGCTTATACGCACAATAATCTTTCGTTTGAAAGCATTCCACAAACGAACAAGCTTGAACAAGAGTGAACAACACGAAAGACGAAAGACGGGGTTTATAACTTAAACAATCATAGTTGCATCGAAATTCAAATGTTTTAAATATGAAAAGGAACAAACAAACAAAAAAACAATATACACGCGTCGTCCTCTTTCTTTTCCTTCCCCTTCCCCTTATTGAACAAGAAGAAAAAGAAGGGGATAGGCTCATTGGCACCATTTCTCTCTCACACCCCGCTGCAATATGCTTAAATCTGAAACGGGAAATGCTCATACAGTTTTGCCTCAAAAATGAAAATCCTGTTTGCTTGGCAATGCCAGCGGCATCTAAATTATTTCGGGTTTTCGCAGTTATCAAGATAAAACAACAGAAAAGATGATTAAGCAGCGGACTCCTTGGAAATCTTCTCTGCCTTGGCAATGACCTCCTCAATACCTCCAACCATGTAGAACGACTGTTCTGGAAGGTCATCGTACTTTCCGTCCAACACTCCCTGTCAAAACAAAATTACAAAAAACAAATATATGAATTTTGAGCCCACAAGTCCTTGTATCATTAGTCTAAAACCACTGTTTTTAAGCGTTGGTATTACTTGTGTGTTATGACTTATGAAAAGACATAGGAAGAACTAAATTGAAGATAGAAGCATTCGTGTAACCAAATTACCCACTTCGAATTGATCACGAATGGATAGCCAAAAGAACCAAGAATATATCACTTTTTCTAGTCATGAATAAAAGGATTATCAAGTTAACAAATTATTATAGTGAATTTCATTAACCTTACCTACTCTTTCAGGTTAATTCTCATGTTAATACTCAAACATTTGGCTCGTAAAATTCATTGTTTCAAAAAATTGGACAAAAACGAGCACACATTTTTGGAATCAGATATATATGCTTCAGGCTATGAGGTAATTTAGATGATAATATGGAGACATCTAGACTGGAGAGAGTGAAGGATAGAAAGAGGGATACCTGGAAGGAAGTAATGCTTTCTTTCAACTCCACGTATTTTCCAGGGGCACCAGTGAAAACTTCTGCCACATGGAACGGCTGGCTCAAGAACCGTTGGATCTTACGAGCACGGGCAACAGTCAACTTATCATCTTCACTAAGCTCATCCATCCCCAAAATAGCAATAATATCTTGCAAATTCTTGTAGTTCTGAAGAACCTTCTGGACACCACGAGCAGTGTTGTAGTGTTCCTCACCCAAAATATGAGGGGAGAGCATACGAGAAGTTGAATCAAGAGGATCCACTGCAGGGTAGATTCCAAGCTCAGAGATCTGTTCAATTCAAAACGTCACCAAAGTTAGTAAAAGATGGCATCACAAGATTGCTTTACTATTAGTCCTTATAGATGCGACAGACCTGTCGTGACAGCACAGTTGTGGCATCCAAGTGAGCAAAGGTAGTGGCAGGAGCAGGATCTGTCAAGTCATCAGCAGGCACATAAATAGCTTGGACAGAAGTGATGGAACCCTTCTTGGTAGTTGTGATACGCTCCTGAAGACCTCCAAGATCAGTAGCTAAAGTAGGTTGATATCCGACAGCAGATGGGATACGACCAAGCAAAGCAGACACCTCTGAGTTTGCCTACAGGATGGATCAGAGAAAAACTTAGATCATTAACAATATGCAACTCTAATCTCTGATGACATATAATCTTCAATGGTTCCCAAACAAGAATTCTTACTTGGGTAAATCGGAAAATGTTGTCAATAAATAGAAGCACATCTTGCCCTTCAGCATCACGGAAGTGTTCAGCCACAGTGAGCCCAGTCAAACCAACACGAGCACGAGCACCAGGAGGCTCATTCATTTGGCCGTACACTAGAGCACATTTGCTGTCAGCCTGACATAAAACAAAAAAGGAGAATGGCAAATAAGGAACAACCTCCAGAAAACAGTAACAGTAACAAATGCATATAAATGGGGTGGCATGCGAATGCAGTCTCTACCTGCTTTTCACCTAGCTTAATGACACCACTCTCAATCATTTCCCTGTACAAGTCATTACCCTCGCGAGTACGTTCTCCGACACCAGCAAACACAGAGAAACCACCTGACTCAAGAAACAAGTATATGTAAACCAACGGGAAAAACAACAAAACGAGTTCGTTAGCATGCAGCTCTTTAAATAAAATAAATAAATAAACTGACCGTGAGCTTTAGCAACGTTGTTGATAAGTTCCATAATAAGCACAGTTTTTCCAACACCGGCACCACCGAACAAACCAATCTTTCCTCCTCTTTGGTAGGGAGCAAGAAGGTCGACAACCTGTATATGAAGTAGATAACATAAGTATACTAAACATACACAGCACCACATATAATCCAAACGCAGTGGAGAAGCAAAGCAATAAGAGGATCGAATTCTATTACATTAGATATGACAGTAAAGGTTCATGTTAATACCTTGATTCCAGTAACAAGGATCTGCTGCTCAGTTGCTTGCTCAACAAAGGCAGGAGCTTCTCTGTGAATGGGCAGAAAGTGATCGGTGCCTGTTGGAGCATTCATACAGAAATTGTCAGAAGGCTTGAGAGCAATGCATTAACATATTGCAACAGAATAAGCACACAACACCATCAAGTGATTATTTATTTTAAGGTTTACAAATTTCTTACTGATATCGCCTCTATGGTCAATGGGCTCTCCAATGACGTTCATGATACGACCAAGGGTAGCCCTTCCAACAGGAACCTAAAAATAGCAAATAAAAACCAAAATCCAAGTCAGAATCCAGGAAAATGTAAACGCTATAATCAACACCAAAACAATAAGCACATTAACAACACCAAAACAGAATGCTATATGATAAAAACTAAAATGGATAAACAGGAAAACTCCGACAAAAATATCACAATTTGTCCACATAAAATCTGAAGAAAATCTAGTTGTTGAGGACGCGTGTAATTCTAATGGCTAACACTGAATGCACTACTTGAAGTTTTGAAAGATCAAAGCTTTAAACAGCAGAATCCCTAAGTGTAAATCAATCAACGACAATTACACTAAAAAAAATGTGTACCATAAATCAACCAACAGTAGTAACACCCAGATCTGAAAACCCCAGCGCCAATTCACAAATCAATCAAAACCCATCTCATTTCTATCAATACAATCACCAAAGTCAACACTTTACCATTCGAACACTAAAACCCTAACATTTCTCATCAAACCAGTAAGCATAGACCGGATAACAAGAACATATAGCTTACAGTGATCGGAGAACCGGTGTTGAGCACGCGCTGCCCTCTCACAAGCCCCTCAGTCCCATCCATAGCAATGGTCCTGACCATGTTCTCACCCAAGTGCTGAGCCACCTCGAGCACCAACCGGATCGAGTTGTCCAGCACCTCAAGCGCGGTCAAAATCGGGGGAAGCCCCTCCTCGAACCTCACATCGACGACGGCTCCGATCACCTGGCACACCTGCCCGATCGAGCCCTTCCCGGTGAATTCGTCGGTGATTTTTCCCTTCCCGGAATCCTTGCTCTTCGGAGACGCTGAAACCGTCTGGGGCTCGGCGGCGGCGGCGGTCGCGTACTGAGCGACGCGGTTGAGGAGATAGCCGCAGGGAGAAGCGGATCGGGAAGACGGAGATGGGGATGCGACCCTCGGGTTAGGCGTTGAGATCGAAGATTTGGACGGCGCCCGGCGGACGGAGGACCGGGCGAGAGATGATAAAAGCCTTCGCGAGGCCATTTTGTTGGGGATTCAGATGGAGAAAGCAGAGAGTGTGGAAGAAAATACTAGGGTTTGTTGAGTCGAGGTGCCAATGCTATATGTACAGACCGCTCAGCCCCAAAATTGGAATATCATTTTTTTTTTTTTTTTTCAATTTTGTTTTTCGTTTTTAACTTTTGACCTTTTCGGCAATTCTCCGCAAGGATGGGTGGTGGAGGCTAAAGGATCGTTGCCAAACACTCCCTAATGTTTCACTTTTCTCTTTTTTCTCTTTTTTATCTTTTTTTTTTTTTTTTTTTGGTAAATTGTAGCAATGCTCTCTTAATTTTAACTCAATTAGAGGAATAGTATCTTAACTAAAAATTAATTACCATTAGTCCCTCAGCTCATCAAAACATGCAGTTATGATCCCTCAACTAAAAATTCATTATCATTGGTCCATCAACTTTAATCCAACTAGAGAAATTGTCCTTCAACTTTAATTTAATTCGAGCAATGGTCCATCAACTTTAACCCAATTGTAGCAATGGTCATTCCAACATAATTCGTTTTGACAAAATTCTAACGAAATTGATGAAAATGACAATAGCTACACATTTTGATGTGTTAAGAGACCCTAATTGTAACAATGATCATTCCAACTTAACTCATTTTGACAAAATTTTGACGAAATTGATGAAAATGACCATGGCTACACATTTTGATGAGTTGAGGGACCAATGGTAATGGATTTTTAGTTAATAGACCATTGCTCAAATTTGATTAAAGTTGAGGGACCATTACTACAATTTACTCCTATTTTTAGTATTTAATTTCTTAATTTTATTAATCTTATGAGCTTTGTGTGCCCTCTTGTACGGTGATTCCACGTTTCCAATAAACCAG